AGATAATAAATTTACCATCTTAATCATTTTAAGTGTGTAACACAGTAGTGTTAACTGTTGTTGTGAAACAGATCTCTAGAACATTTTCACCTCACAACACTTTTCCAGGTTTGTTTTGTTTTGTTTTGTTTGTTTTTTGTTTTGTTTTTCTGTTGATTTCTAGTTTTATTCAACTGTGATTAGAAGTTTTTATTTAATTTTTGTTTAAAGTATTACAGATGTCCTTTTTTCTCCCCAATGACCCATTCCACCCCTTCCCATCCCCTCCCCAGTCCTCTCCCCGCCGTTGTCCATGTCCTTGGGTTGTGCATACATGCATATAAATTCTTTGGTTAATCTCTCCCCCTCCACCCACCCACNAGATTTGATAAACGAATTTGGCAAGGTAGCTGAATACAAAATCAATATCCAGAAATTAATGGCATTCATATACACCAACAATGAACTTTCAGAGAGAGAAACTAAAAAAACAATACCATTTACCATTGCAACTAAAAAAATAAGATACTTAGGTATAAACTTAACCAAGGATGTAAAAGACCTGTACTCAGAAAGCTATGGGACACTGAAAAAAGAAATAGAGGAAGATATAAACAAGTGGAAGAATATAACATGCTCATGGATTAGAAGAATTAATATCATTGAAATGTCCATACTACCCAAAGCAATTTATAAATTCAATGCAATTCCTATTAAAATACCAACAGCATATTTCACAGATCTAGAACAAACATTTCAAAAATTTATATGGAACCAAAAAAGACCCCGAATAGCTGCAGCCATATTGAGAAAAAAGAACAGAGTGGGAGGGATCACATTACCGGACTTCAAACTGTACTACAAAGCCATTGTAATCAAAACGGCCTGGTATTGGTACAACAACAGGCATATAGATCAATGGAACAGAACAGAGACTCCAGAAATAGACCCATGCCATTGGTCAGTTAATATTTGACAAAGGAGGCAAGAGTATCCAATGGAGTAAGGACAGTCTCTTCAATAAGTGGTGCTGGGAAAATTGGACAGATACATGCAAAAAAAAAAGAAACTAGACCACTAACTTTCACCATACACAAAAATAAACTCAAAATGGATAAAAGACTTAAATGTAAGTCACGAAACCATAAAAATCTTGGAAGAAAACATAGGCAGTAAAGTCACAGACATCCCACATAGTGGAATTTTCCTTGTGGTATTTTTTAATATTACCATGACTACGATTAAAGTTAGTGGAAAAATACAACAACCCAGTTCAGGTAAGACTTCTATTGGCCCAAACCCTTCAAGAATGAAGGTTTGGGTCACCCTACCAGGCAAAGAACCATAAACAGCTGCTGTGCTTTTTGGGAGCAAAATGAATATGAAATAGGTAGTTTAAGAAGGCAAATATATATACTCATTAAGACCATGTGACCAGTTGAAGAAATGAGATTTGTATTAGTTATCAGTATTTCTTTTGTTACAAATACATTAATATTAATATGTATCCATGTACATATAATATTTGGTATATGTATACATATCAATTATTTTTTGTTTTTTTTCTCTCCTTTATACCTGCGTCATGGAACTTTATATTACAGTATTTAAATGACAAGATACGGCCCAGTCGGGTGTGGCTCAGTGATTGAGCATCAACCTAGGATCCAGGCAATTGGGGTTCGATTCCCGGTCAGGGCACATGCCTGGGTTGCGGGCTCGATCTCCAGTCAGGGGCATGCAAGAGGCAGCTAATCAATGACTCATCATTGATGTTTCTATCTTTCTCTCTCCCTCTCCTTTCCTCTCTCTGAAATCAATAAAGATATATTTTTTAAAAATTAAAAATAAATAAATAAATAAATGACAAGATATCAAAGTAGAAGTGTGAACATCCCCAAGGACTTTGCATCTTCCAGAGAAAGGGTTACTGTATTTTTGGTTATACACAGGATAGTTGCACTGTGTTAGGTGAAGTATGTCTTTGCTATTGTATTTATTTGAAGATTAATTGTGGTTGAAGGAGATATGTATGAGTGCCAAGTTAACAAGGGATGGACCGTGATGGTCAGTGTTATGTGTCAACTTGGTTAGGCTTTAGTCCTTAGTTGTTCAATGAAACACCAATCTAGGTGTTGCTGTGAAGGTATATTGTCAATGTGATTAAAGTCCATACTAAATTGACATTGAGTACTGGAGATTATTCTAGATAATCTAGAGGAGCTTGATTCTATCATTTGAATAGCCTTAGCAGCAGAACTGAAACTTCCCTCAGGAAGGAGAAATTCCACCAGTGGGAAACAGCTTAAGTTTGTGCCTGAGAGTTCTAGGCTGCACTTCCTGAATTTCAGAAATTCATCCCTATGAATTTCAGATTTACCTTGTCAGCCCCCACAATTGCATAAGCCAGTTCATGTAATAAATCTCTTAATGTATATATTTTCAACTGGCTTAGTTTCTCTGGCTGAACCTTTACTTATATAGCCAATTTTGTTTTTTTTCTGGATGAAGGAAAAATTTTACCTAAAGATGGTTTCCAATCAATTTAACCACCTGGGAAACTTCCTGATATCCTCAATTTTGACAATTTATCTATTACTTTTTGCTGGTTCACTATCTGATGGATGTACAGGAAAACCATAGCCTTTACCTATCCATTCCTTTCTCTGAAGATTTCTATTCAGCTGTAGGTCATTCCATCTTTCCTTCTTCTTAAATGCCACGCCTCTGATTATGAATAAAGTAACATAGTTATAATTGGAGTACAATATTAAATATGTAACATAATTATAAAATCTAATTATGTACAGCTTTTAATCTTCAATTTAAAAAATTTGAGTTGTGGACAACCTTGTCACTTATACTCTTTTCTCTACTTTTCTGAATGTTTTAAACATTTAAGAGTAAAATATTTTAGCCCTAGCCAGTTTTGCTCAGTGGTTAGAGCATCTGCCCATGGACTGAAGGGTCCATAGTACGATTCCAGTGAAGGGCACATACCTGAGTTGCAGGCTTAATCTCTGATTCCTGGCCCATGTTGGGGTGTGTGCAGGAGGGAACCAATCTCTCTCTCTTTCTCTTTCTCTCTCTGAAAAGCAATGGGAAAAAAATCCTTGGGTGAGGATTTTAAATAAAAGAGTAAAATATTTTAAACAAGGTACAAGACATATAAAAATAAAACCCATAACAATAAGAGGAGAGAGAAAATACACTGTTACAGAAACAATAAGATAACCCTCAGAATTCCAATTTATCAAGTAAAATAGAAGATAAGTAGGACACAGAGGATTTGTATAATGGTCGATCTAATGGCTATATAAAAAACTTTAAAAATCAGATGGTTTAGATCAGAAAAAGCATGTCAGGTTATAATATAGATGTTAGTGGAGGTTATAATTTCAAATGACCCTAGAACAGCTTAACTAAAATTTAAAAACATTTTAATAATAAAAGCTAATCTTGTAGGATTTTAAAATAGCAATTATTTTCCACTAGTGATTAATAAATATTTTAAAGCAGATTTGTAACAGCATAACCCCAATACTTTTTACAAAAAGAATAGCAAATTCTATTGGGATGATAAGTTACAGGATTCAAGGTAAAGTACCTGTATTGTTTTTAGTGTCTATGTAAGGGTCATGACCCATAACACTACTTTTTGACTAAAGAAAAATGCTACATATTATTAGAAACATACAGTCTTTAGGCTAAAAGTAGTGAAGGCCAGGAAAACATAATAGGTTTAGATAAATTGGAAACTATACAAAACCAAATTAAAACAATCTCATCTGGCTTATATAAAAACTTAATAGAAAATGGAAAGACCATGTAGTTACAAGGTAAATAAAGTCAAAACAAAGCAAATATGGTATATAAATCAATAACCCAATTAAACTTTATGAAATGTGGTTTCCAAAGTGTTGGGGTAAATTATTATGCCTGTCATCTTTAAATTCTTGGCAGATCATATTTCTTTAATTGACCCATCCAATATTGTTGCTGAGCCAGACAGAATCTACCTTTCTTCTATCATTTTATAATGGCGAAAGGAAGGCATATACTACTTCTTAGGATATTTCATCACTTCGTCAAAAAAAATTAAAAACTAAAAAAAATGAGAAGGGAGATCTTCTGGGAAACCTGGGAAAATGCTGCACATCCAGGCTAAGTACCATCCAAGAAAAAGTATTTGGTCTCTTAGCAATGCCAATGTTTTCTTTACCTGAAAAGGAGTGGGCTTTGATGAATTTCTACTAGCTTTGCTTAGAGTCTAGCCTCTGAGTATTACATATGTAGAAAAAATTATATTCATAGAAATCTCAACAAAGCATGAAATTTTACATATGTGTAAAATTATATGTATAAACATCTATAATTTCATGCTTTAGTTTTCTTCCTTTGTTGGAACTTCTAAGTTATATAGAGAGTTATATATAATACACACACACACAAATATACACAATCTTGGTTTTTTTCTGCTATGACAAGTTTTACATAAAGAAGACTGCAAAGAAATTCATCTCTCATATTTTCCTACATTTCACAAAGTAATGAAAATGTGATAACAGCAGAGTCCATTGATTATAAAAGAAACCAGTCCCCTAACCCTCTTGGAAGCAATAAACAGGTCATGGCCATAAAATTGACTATGTGTTCTCCAACTAAGACAGAGAGGACTTTTAAAACAAAATAAAATCAAAATGGAAAAATCTTACAAATAGAACTCTAAAAACTAGTTGGATAATAACTGATTATTTAGTAATAAGATCTTCATAAAATAAATTATTTTATAACTCTTTTCCTAACATATGTCTCTTGGAGTTCTGATTATTAAACTTACTGCCTTATAAAAGGAAACGCTAATGATGGCCTAACAGAAAGGGGATTTCCTTTGGTATCTGGTTCCTTACCCCTAAATTATTGTACTATGTCACTATTTTTATAATTGCAGACTTCCACCAAACGAAGGTGTTTTTTTGAGGTGGTCAAACAATGAAGAGGGAAGGAATGTCTGAGTGTCTTCAGCAGAGAGAACCTCTAAAGAAAGGGGCTCCACCGTTTGCCATGGTTTTCCTGATGGCACCTTTCACCTCCTTGTTTCTCAGGCAGTAGATGATAGGGTTGAGCATGGGAGTGAAGACTGCATATATGACTGAGATCAATTTGTTAGAATTGAATGAAGCAATGGCCCGAGGTCGAACATATATGAAAATCACAGCTGTGTAGAAGACGACCACCACTGCAAGGTGAGAGGCACAGGTGGAGAAGGCCTTCCGCTGCCCAGTGGCTGAGGGAATGTGCAGGATGGTAGATACGATGAGGACATAAGAAATGACAGTGACTGAGAAAGGAGACACCAGGATGATGATGGCCAGCACAAAGTCTATCATCTCTGCCACAGAAAAGCCCATGCAGGCCAGTTTGAGGATAGGGGACACATCACAAAAAATATGGTTCAAGATATTATTGCCACAAAAGGCAACTTGGGAGATGAAGTATACCTTTACCATGCAAATGGTGAAGCCACTCACCCAGGAACTGATGATCAGCTGAACACAAAATCCTGTGGTCATCATGACTGGATATCGAAGAGGCCAACATATGGCCACGTAACGGTCGTAGGCCATGGCAGCCAACAGCATACATTCAGTACAGGCAAGTGAGATGAAGAAATAGAGCTGGATCATGCATCCCAGGAAGGTGATGATATTGGGACGAAGTAGGAACCCAGCCAGCATCTTGGGGACAGTGACAGATATATACCAGACCTCCAGAAAAGACATGGTGCCCAGAAAATAGTACATGGGCTTGTGCAGAGACCCAGTGACCCATACAGTGAAGATTATGACTAAATTTTCCAACAGCACAAACAAGTAGGTGATGAAGAAGAGGAGGAAGAGCAGAACCTGGAGCCAAGGGGAAGTAGGGAAACCTACCAGGATGAACTCACTAATATGAGTGATATTTTTCTTCCACATGGTTAGAACACCAAAATACAAAATATTTAATGATAGTAGCACCAAACTGAAGAGTGAGATCATCATTAGCAGCAAAGAGCTTTTACATGTATTTTATCATTAAACTTAATCCTAGTGCCATAATCTAGTCCTATGGCATGACTTTGGAGTCACAAGAGGCCATGAGAGCCTCTCTGGAAAATCAGGTGTCAAAACAGGAACTGAAAACAAATCTGCCACAGACACAAAGTTAAAAACTACTGTGTTGTATACCAGAAACTAATATATTATATACCAATTGTAATTGAAAAATAAATATTAAAAAAAGAATCTGAAAATTATGAGGTGAGATTCAGGATTCAGGCCTTTGAACCTGGATCAGAAAGAGGTCTTAGTAGTCTTAGGAGTAAATACTTTTTTTATCAGCAAATGCCCAGATTTCAGGAGCAGCTATAAGGCAGGAGATCATGATGACTGGAATAAGTGCCAAGGATGGTCCAGGAAACAAGGCAGGAAAGGGGGGAAGTTCAAAATCTGGAGAAAATAAAAACAGAATATTAACTGGAAAAGACCCTCCCGGCCAGGAGAGTTGCCTACTCTGCCCTCCTCCTCTGCTATGTTGTAAGTCTTTTGAAGAATATGGCAAGGTGGTCAACAATTCTCTGCCTATTTTCAGGGTGATGTCTTTAAAAATTGAGTAAAGAAATGTCTGCCCTCTTAGAATAATTAAACACAATTTAACTTTTCAGATGGCTAATAATGCTAATTATATATATATATATATCTGTTATATATTACTAATTTAATATATATATTACATAGGTGGTGCCTAATGATCTGAACCCCACAGTCCTCATTCTAATATTCTCTCTTGTCAGATACTCTACCCAAGCTCAAGTCACACTGAAGAATTTGAACTTCAGTACAGCATCCTCCTTTAAGACTCTATGTGGTTCCACATACTCTACCTTCTGCCTGAAATTCTTTCTAACACTTGCCACCTGGAAAATGCCTGCTCAGATTCATCCTCTCTATCAAACCATCCCTAACCACCCCCACTATGGCCACCTCTGGCCCATCACCCCCTTCTATCTGGTTTTGTAACATTTTGGACCTTAGAACATCATGACAATATGTATCATTTGCTTACCTGTCATCATTACTAGATTTGTGAATTCCTTGAAAAATGCCAATTTTATCCTATTTTCAGCTGGTCTGTCTTATCCTTAATACCTAGCACAGTCCCTAATGCATGGTTGACACTCAATAAACAAATTATTTGTGATGTTTAATAAATACCAAATGTCTCACCATAGTGCTTTCTGTTAATTTCTCTTTAGGGACCTGGGTGAAGTAGGTCATCTTGGTTGAGTCCAGCTTAGAGATCTTGTTATAGTTGCCCAGTGGTCAGATCTATGGAAAGGTGTCCTGAAGAATATGGCCTTTTTCATCCCATAAGTCTTTGTCTCTCCACCTGAAAGGAGCTTCAGATATGTGACAGAAAGCAATAGGAAAAGGGGAAAAGGAGAGACAGTAAAATAGTCTGATCTAAGTCTTGGAAAATTGCTTCTCTGTGAAATTCAAGAGAAGAGATTTTGTGATTCTCATCACCTAGTAAAGACTCTGGGGTCCAAATGGATTATAGGGAAATGAAAAATTATTCTGCTATTGATTAAAGAAAATGCAACATCACCTCAATTCATATTTATGGTTACACTTTTAAATCCAATATTTAAAGGTTACCTTTTGGCTTGTTGGTTGCCCCTGTTGGATGATAAGAGCCCAGGATGGGATAAATTCTTCTGTTTTTTCTTTGTATTTATCAATGTTATCTCTTCCCACTCCTCTCTCTGTCTCTTGCTCTCATTTTCTATTTCTCTGCCACTGAACGTGAGTTGGTGCTGTATGTTGACTCCTCACATAGTCCTCAGCTGGACAGAACCTAGTGCTGGGAAGCTCCAGGATGCCATGAGCCCACTGCTCAGTAGAGACAAGTGCTGTTCTTTAAATGACACATCCTTGGGGATCTGGTTAAAAAATGCTGTAGGATTTTGAATAGTAACAATGACAAAGAAGTTAGAGTAATTTCCCTAGTAGTCTCCAAGGGTCAACAGAGATGATACTAGATCATTATCAGATGGAGAAACAGAACAGCAACAGTTTTATGGCAAATCTCCCTGGTGATTGATCCTAATTCTAGTCTCAAGACTTGGTTTTCCTTCTTTTTTTCTGGTTGTTTGGGAAGTAACTATTACTCATAATTTATTACTTTAAAGAATTAATCCTACCCAGAGGAGATGCTGGTGAGAGGATTAAAGTATACAAAAGATGAGTTAGCTGTGTTAATAGTACATACTAAGCTCTAGGGAGAAGTACAACTTTCTCTCCATGCCCTCCACTCAAGAGAAGAGTACTCCTAAGCAGCAAAGAGAAACAACTGCACATGGGGCTCGGAAATCAAGCTTTGGCGTGAAAAGAAAATTTAACTGTAGCCAATTTTGGCTCTTTTTTAAGGAAATTTCTCTTGTCTTGGTTCTTCCTTGTGGGTCATTCTACATTGCTCTTCTCTTTGCATCTCATGTCAATAGTTATTGAGAATAACCTGAAGAAGAGGTTTAGAGGAAGAATGCCCATTCTTAGCACTCCAAGAAGAAAACAAGTGAGAATCTGAAGCAAAGGAAGGTAGGAGACAAAGAGAAAGACAATGGAGCAGGTAGCTGATGACATCTCTACACTAAGGCTCAGATTAAAACCTTCTCTTTCCTCTAATTTAATCTTCCCATGTCTCCTGTCATAGTTTTATCATCAGGGTGATGAGACTATGAGGACCATCATTAGACTGTAGGTGGGGAAAGTATAAGGAGGCTGCTCAGACTTTTCAAAGTGGAACAAGAAATGTACCTTGTGTCTCAGATCTGGTCCTGGCCTGCTCTCCAATTAGGAGACTAGGGACACAGGTATAATGTGTGACAGAATGTGTCTTTGCCTGAAACATCCCCTCTGTATATATCTCTTCTGAAAATAGCAATTGTGGTGGCAGCAGATGAAGGCTATGTCCAATATTTGGAGATTTTCTTTGCTCCCTGTTAAATACCTTTCTTTTACAGATAAGACCAACAAACATAAGTATATTGATAGGTACAGTGCTTTAAAACATTTATGTAAACTAATTTTCTGGACTAAAATCCATGAGTAAGAAAAAAGATAATTTTTTATTAGTGAATTTATTTTTATAAAAATACATAGAGAGTTATAAATAGTACATCAATTTATTCATTCAATTCATACTCTTTATTAAAAATAAAATTAGATGAAATAATTATAAAACTCAACAGACAAATAGTTATTACTGTATTTACTTGGTTATTTTCATCATTCATCTAATGTAGGGTTTTACACAATATTTTTCAATATATACTTATAAAGAACTCTGCTTCTCAATATTCATAAGATTTACTGATTTGATTAATTGTATTATCAGTAGCTGAAACATTGGAATGCTAGGTTAACTCCAGATACTTCATTAAACTGTCCATTCAACCTCTCATGCCTAGAACCTTTGAATTAACTTTAATTCCTTTACCCCCAAACACTCCAGTCAATCAGATGACTGAGGTCATCTTTATTTTTAAAAAATGTGAAGACTGCCATCAGTAGATCCACAAAGACATCTGTGAATACGTAAGAGCAACCTGAGTGAATTAGAACTACCTGGGAAAATATATGGAGAAAATTCTTCTATGGATAATTAAGTATAGTCTGCTTTATTCTGATAAGGGAAGTGCAACATAAAAGGGAAAAAGTAAAGAGAGAGTTCTCTCAGTCAACTTACTTATGCTGGTTCTGAGAGGAACTAAGTGCTTCCTAGTGACATATAGAGATTTAAAATAAATTGCAGAAAAGCTGGGTACAATATATTCAACACCTGAGTTTAAATTTGCTGAATGTGTTAGCTCACACATCTCAGAATTGATTCAGTTTGGCAGTGGCATGTGGATGGAAGAAAAGTAGAAGTTATTTATGGAGAAATACTTAAAAAATTAAATGTGAAACAAATGATTTTTTATTTTAATTCAAGTTCTGTCCTATATCATAATTAGAAAATGAGGTTTGCTTAGGTTATATTATTTATTTCAAAAACTAAACCCATGTTGCCCAGCTGGGCGTGGCTCAGCGGTTGAGCGTCGACCTAGGATCCAGGCGATCGGGGTTCAATTCCCTGTCAGGGCACATGCCCAGGTTGAGGGCTCGATCAATGACTCTCTCATCATTGATGTTTCTATCTCTCTCTCTCCCTCTCCTGTCCTCTCTCTGAAATCAATAAAGATATATTTTTAAAACACACACACAAATCAAACAAACAAACAAAAAAACTAAACCCATGTCAATTTTCAAATACTTATTCCAAGAATTCCAACTGAAGTTTATTTGTTTGACTAATATTTATTAAATGTTATGTACAGTCAGAATCCTAGTAAGAAACATAAAGCAATTTCTGCTGAAATTTTGAGTAGAATTAAATGTCCCAACTATCCACTGAGGTTGGACTAAGTGAAGACAACCAACAAGAGTGTTGAGCCACAGAAGGACTGGCAGTGCAGATAGCCAGAGACAGCTGCAGCCTTGAGAGGAGCACCCTGTGCAGGAGTTGTAGTAACTGCCAGAGTCACAGAACCCAGGGAAGCAGGGAATAATTCCTTGCCATTTCTTTCCCAGCATCCTTCAGTTTCCTGCTGGCGTTCCCCATTGACCCAACCAAACTGGAAGCCAGAGGCCAACAGAGCCAGAGTGACAATGCATAGGATCAATTGCTCTCACCTCCCAGGAGGTGGGGTATATACAAAGGGGTACAGAAGTGCAGAGAATCGGTCACTGGGGAGGGGAAGTAGAGGATAACCTGTCACCGGTGCCTACAGTGTCAGGGACTGTGGCTGATGTTGTAGATTGAAGAGGAATAAGGTTAGTTTCTACCCTAGAGGATCTCACCATCTAACAGAGAGTCAAACACAAGCTGACATCTG